CACGATTGGAAAAGGGGAATCCACCGTAAAAAAATCCATTAAACTCGCTAAGAGGGGGACTCGGGAGCTGAATTGTGTTGATATAGTGTCAAATTGAGGTTTACATGGTTCCAATGAAGCACAACCAATTGAAAAATGTGTGTTTTTTCAGAGAGAAGAAAAAAAGACGGCATTCATGTATGCATGCATCTTGTCCTCTCCGCATATGTAAATTTAGATGCACAAGTACACATGCATATTCAATTATTCATATCATCCCATGTTATCTAGAGAGATGAGGCCAGCCAGTCCCACGAGAACGACATGATGAAACGTAATATCTTTGGACCATGATTTCCTCCATTCGATCTTTGATCGGTGGAGTTGCACACGTTTTCATGGAGATTAAGAGAAATGGACGGGATCATTCGCATCCACATTTACAAGCACGTCCATCCAAAGCTTAAAACCTACAGCCAAATCAAGTCGGGTTCAAACTGAAAGTGACCAAGATACAGTAATTGAACATAGATGTAGCATGAATTAAACATGTGCAGATACAATATAAGTACTTATTAAATCAAGATCCACTGAACAGCATAGATGTAGCATGAACTGAACATGTGCAGCAGATGCAATGAGTACTGATTTCTATGTGATGTATTATTAAGAGAGAGAACTCGTGCCATTTATTAACTATCTTTCCATAATAAGGCCGGGGGAAGATTTCCCCAGTAAAATCCGACGGCTCACCCATTTCAATTTCATCTTGCGTGGTCTTGGGCAACTTACCAATGAGTTGTGCATGACAACATTTAATCTACTTTCTTGAGAAATAGTTCCTCATAAATAGCCACTTAGAAAAAGACTTATTACATTATCTACATTGTACAATGTAAACACGATCAACACATCACATCAACTTGTGTATCCTCTGTATGGACCGTGGCTCAAAGTTTATCTTGTGCTCCCCTATTTTCCGCTCTTCCCATCGCTCCATAATCCTCCTCCTCCTCCATTGCCATCATCGCTGCCTCCATCAACCTTTTGAGACATCTGAGGGCTCGGCTTCTGGCACGCATACCTTAGTGAGTAGCGAGGGTGATTAGCTTTCGAAGGGCTATCGCTTTTCTTTCTCATTTCTTTCTTGTTCTTATTCAACTACAACTGGAGCTGGGATTTTCAGACCCGCCATACCAATCTAACCCTTCATTTTGCTCTCTCAGTTCCGTTTCATTCTTTTAGGTGTTTCAAAGCTAATCTAAGACGAGCTCAAGCACGCAAGTCCAAGAGAGTGAAGAAGGGCTCGAAGAGAGAGAAAATGGTGGCTCAGATCATCATCAACTTATTCACAATATTGATGCTAGTAACGGGGAATGTGGTAAGACCAGAAGATCTTGAACCTGGAGATCACATCTATACTTATTGACGATATGGCTTATACACTCATCATGGTCAGTGATTCATCCTCTTCTTCCTTTTCGATTGTCATTAGTATTTTTTGGAAACATGGATATCTGAACATGTGGCTCGACTAAGTTATCCTTTCTTATCTTTCGTTTTTGGCCAAAGAACAGTAATTGTATCTGCTTGATATATCATCTCAGCAATCACCGAATCTTGCCTTTCCAGCTTCCTGCTCCGTGTTAAAACTTGTCAAAATTTGCACGGTAGAAGACAAGTAACGTTAATTTTAGTTCTCCTTCAACACAGTTGTCTTCTTCTTTTGATTTCAAGGGCTGTTCATATATCTGATTATGATCACACATGGATTTCCATATGATGCGAGTCGCAAAACCATGAACAGTTCACGACCTTCTGGGAAGTGGCCAAAATCTTGTAAACCCTATTCTCTTGTGATTAGAGAGAGAAACCCTACAACAAGCAAGTAGGATCAAACCCGAGGACAAACGCCAGTATAGAAACCCCTTCAATCCCAAAACCAAGCCTCTTATCTTATCTTAAAACACAAAAAAAACCCTTCAATCCCAAAGATAAAACCTATCTTATCTTATACCACAGACAACCCCTTAAGCCCTTATCTTACCTTAAACCACAGACATCAACTTATTTCTTTATTTGCTTAACAAAAAAGAAAATCAACAATCAACTTTCTTTTGTCTGATCGGAAGCACAATCTCATGGACTTAAATATGGTCTTGTTATTATGCAAATTAGATCATAGCGATCATATCACTTGAAAATAGAATAAAGTTTTATTTTTGCGAGAGACAGCCTCTGTGAGATTGTATTCATATGATAACCCATATTTAATTACTTTCTCACACAGATAGGTTAAAGCTGGCCTGGGCCATTGGATAAATGTCATCGACTTGATGTTTTTAAGCTCCTTAATTTATTTTAGTAGGGACTAAGGTGAAACTCAAATAGTTAGTCCAGGAGAGTACGAAGACGTGATAAAACGTTCGTTTTCCTTTGCCCAATTTGAGTGACTATTTTGAATTTTTCATATATACCTTTTTATATCAACTTTAGCAGAAATTTTCCATAACTCTCATACCACTCCTCTTTTTCACACTTGTGACACTGCTCTCCTATTTCTTTCTTTTTCCTCAACATCTTTTCTCATTCAGTCGTCTCTATGTCTGAAAATTCTTATTCACCTTTCCTAGATAGTTGAAATTAATACGTACCTCAAATAAATCACGTAAAATACTGAAACTTGTGATTTGTCATGATCGAAGTTTATTCTCTATTAGTCTTTGATGCTCCAACACGGAGACTAATAAATTGCGATTTACTTTGTAACAATCCACTCCGGCTCATCAACCAACATCTATTCGCTTCTCATTCCCTATGAAAAAGTTGATTTTACAGTAAATATTTTGCTATGGGTGATTTGGACAATCGTTTCTTTTCTTTATTGCACAATCTCACCATCAATCATAATAGGAATCTATGTTGGAGAGGGCATTGTCATTCACTTCACGAGAACATGAGTCGAGAAGACTTCCCTTGATTTCTTCCGGCAAGAAGGCAAGAAGCTCCATTCCCTCCACTTGTATGCACATGAGCGGCCACTATTGGAGCATTGGTTGACAAGACGGGGGAATTGCACAAACTTACCCAATACCAAATCACCCCAGGAAGTCGTGAGCAAGGCTTGTGAGCTTCTCAAGAGCAACGGCTTCGGCGAGTACGACCTCATCAATAACAACCGTGAGCATTTCGCCTGGTTTTGTTGGACTGGCGTTCGGGCAAGTGCACAGACAGCATGGATCAGTGCTTGCGAGTGGAAGATCAAGGAAATCAAAAAATGGGCAATGAAGTTTCTGCTGACAAATTAAGTTCAAGAGACTAAAAAATCATTGCATTCACATCACTTCACTTTAGTCGTATTCCAGAAATAATCACATTGGTCCGTTTTGGACGGGACTATTAAAAAAAAAAGTATATTCCGCAAGTGATCGCCATCCCTTGTCAATATTGTCATTTAGTTTGTCTTTCCTTTTGACCATCATTGTCGTTTACTTTCTTTGGTACATTGATTTTGATGGCAGGAAGCCGCAACCACACGGTTCCAATATTAAAACATTATATGTTGGCGATCCTTTTACCGCATTTAATAAGGTTAGATTCGGTCCGTCTGAGGCTTTCCAGTCACTTGTGACAGTTCCATGGACGTCTTTGTCGGGAGAAGTTATTATATCGGGATCCAAAATTTTCCAGCACACATGGGGGATTTTGATTGGCAATTATGAGGAACTTTCGGAAGCAGATCATGACAATCTATATTTAATGATATTTGGGGTCGAAATCAGGATATCATTTGTAGTTATAAATTTTTATGTTATGAGTCTTGCATTTACATCTTAATAGGACCAAATATAGTTCCAAAGTCCGAAGTTCATCTTCAGTATAAAATTTGAATGTATTTCGCCTTAAAGCAGGTTCTATAACTTAATGATACTCAGCTTAGAGTATGAATACGTTTGATGATATCCATACATAAATCTTTCGATATCCATATGTTGCTTGATGATGTCCACATAATGACCCTGATGAAATCCATGAAGTAATAGTCCATAAACATGGTATCCAGACAGATTTAGAGTTGAGTTTGAACAAAGTCTCTTTAAAGATTAGTTCCTGAATCACTAAAGCTTCAAGGCATTCATTAAAATTTAAAGAAACACATGGATCGTTTTGTTAACTTTAAAACTTGTTAGGAGGTTTTCTCAACACCAAAACATCCGAAACACTCAACATAAGGACCTTGGACTCATTACAATGATCGCCAAACCTTCCCCAACTAGAGTTAATTGAGATTGATGTATCCATCAGATCCAACAAGAGTTTTAATGTGGAAAGCTACGAGTGCAATGTTCATTTAGAGAAATCTTATTACCCATGATTATGGACTTTATCCCTCGCCTAGTGACAAGAAACAAAAGAAAAGAAGGCAAAGAGAAGAAAAGAAAAAAGAAAGTAAAAAGACAAGAAAAACTAAATAAAAAATTAAATATTGAAAAAAATTGTCCATGTTAGCGCCAGTGTGCCACGTAAGATGCATGTTGTCCACGTCAGCGATTTCAGGCCAAAATTGACCGAATGGACTAAATTGGCAAAACGTTAAAAGATTTATGACTAAATTTGGTAAAATTAAAAGGTTTATGACTGAATTAGTACAAGTAAGGTTTATTACTTTTTGGTAATTTTTCCCGCAATAAAAATGAGCTTCTGCTAATGTTCAAAGCCTAAGCATGCAAAATAAATACAAAAGAGCTTGGACTTTTGAAGAGCTACGAACTTTCTTTTGTAAACCTTAGATTGCTGACAGAATTGAGGATTAGCCATAGAAAAACTGTTCCCCTCTCAAAGAAAGTACAACATCTCAATTCACAAGTCAATGCATGTACTCATATACTTATCATGAATATTCCAAAGAACTTAAAAGAAAAACATGACACCCGGTAACTGCTGGTAGAATTGAGATGAAGCTTCCATAGCCCAAGATTAATCCTAGGAAAAACGGGAAAATGCGGAGCAACAGACTTTGATCACAAGACACGAAGTACGGACAACATAATGAGTGAATTCAGGCATCCCATGTCATTTTTTTTAGCGCTGGCAGCTTCAACTGATTCCAGTTCTTCCACGACTTCAGAAATGGAAGGTCGCTCGCGAGGAGTCTCTTGGAAAGTTAGCAGCACTACTTGGAATGCAGAATCTATAGGATAATTGTCCTCCAATCTAGAGTCCATTATAGTCTTCAGGTTTTCTTTACTGCATAACATTGGTCTGGCCCACTCCACTAAATCAAGTTTCAGTGCCGGACGGCTTGGATCAATTGCACTTAAGCCTGTTAGTATCTCAAGCAACACGACACCAAAACTGTAAACACCACTCGTTACATAGAGATGCCCCGTAAAATCCAAGAGTTTTATGTAATGTTGCAGCAAAGCGTCAAAAAATAGCTTCCTAATGCACTTCCTATTATTGTCAAAATTCAAGGCCGAACATCCTCCAGCACTAAGTCACAAAAAATCACTTTTCAATGGAAAAAGTTATATTGGATTACCACTTGCTAGGTATTCAGGGGCAGCATAGCCAGGGGTACCTATAACCTGTGCTGAAACATGTGACATGCCCTCTCAAGGACCATGACAGAAAACAAAGAAAATGGAGGAAATTCTATATTGTATTGATCTGCTATGAATACATGTACATTGGTCTATATATAATGCTAGAATGAAGAAAAAAAATGAAATAATATACAAGATTACAATTTTTCATTTTGCTAAGCTAATCACGGATTGACTGAATCAATTGAGTTTCAATTAGGATCAGTGTTTCAATCTGAATCATCCAAATCTTCAATAGTATCAAATCTCATCTCCAACACTCCCCCTCAAGCTGGTGGCTTGTATATATCAAGGACGCCTAGCTTGCTCAATAGGTATGTGTGTTGTCTTTGACACAATGGTTTAGTGAAGATGTTTGCAGGTTATTCTATGGTTCCAATTCCTCTTGTTAGAATGATCCTTTCTCGAATCTTATCTCGAGTGAAATGACAATCCGTCTCTATATGTTTCGTTCTCTCATGAAAGACTTGATTTGTCGCTAATTTGAGAGCAGCATCATTATCACAAAATAGTTTGCTTGGCCCATCAATTTGTATCCCAAGATCCGAGAGTAGACCTCGTATCCAAACTATTTCGCAGACTATTTTTGCCATAGCTCAATACTCTGATTCAGCTGATGACAGTGAAACAGTTGACTGTTTCTTTGTCTTCCATGAAATCAGTGATTCTCCGAACTTGATGCAAAATCCAGTAATGGATCTTCTAGTCATTGGGCAAGTAGCAGAGTCTGTGTCGTAGTAGGCTGTCATTTTCATGTTGCAATCACGAGACAAGAATATACCAAGTCCTGGGCATCCTTTTAAATACTTCACAACCTTCAGTGCTGCATTCATGTGAGACTGCGTTGGATTGTGCATGAATTGGCTGAGTATTTGCACTGAATAGCATATATCAGGTCTTGTCATGGTGAGATATATTAATTTCCCAACAAGCCGCTAATATGCCGCTAGATCTTTAAGTAATGGATCTTCGATAGATGAAGATGATCACACATCATAGTCATGTGTCGTCAATTTTGTATCTACTTGATTGAAATAACAGCAGGTTTACACCCTGACATTCCTGCTTCTGAAATAATTTCCAAGATGAATTTCCGTTGACTATGGCTGATTCCTTGTCAGATCGAGCGATTTCAATGCCAAGAAAATATTTGGAAGGTCCCAAATATTTGATGTGGAAAGTGGAGTGCAGATATTCTTTGAACTTCTTAATATGAGAGCCATTATTTCCCATAATAAGTATGTCATCAACATATATTAACAAATAGATTGATGAAGTACCTACAGTCCATGTGAATAGGGCGTAATCATGTTTGGAATGCTGAAAACCTGCATTTGTTAGTGCAGCAGTGAATTTGGCATACCATTGCCTAGAGGCTTGTTTAAGCACATACAAGGATTTACGGAGACGACACACACGAGACTCCCCCTGGCTTCGTAAACCCTAGGAAAGTTCCATATAAATTTCTTCTTCCAGATCCCCATGAAGAAAAGCATTGTGGACATCCATCTGATGCAGTTGCCAATTACGAATAGCAGCAATTGATAGAAAGGAACGGACAGTTACCTCTTTGGCGACCGGAGAAAAAGTTTCATGATAATCAAATCCTTCTCATTGCGTGAATCCTTTAGCAACTAAACGAGCTTTGTATCGTTCGACGGAGCCATCTGCCTTGAATTTAATCTTGTATATCCATTTACACCTAATGGGTTTCCGATTAGGTGGTAATGAGACAATATCCCAAGTGTGATTCTTTGTGAGGGCAGTAAGTTCTGCCTCCATCGCTTTTTGCCATCGAGGATCACTTGCTGTTTCATTGTATAAAGATAGTTCTTGTTCCTTGGAAATACGACTAAGACAACACATATGTTTTGTTGATAGTCGACTAAATGAGACATATGAGGAAACAAGATGTTGTGTACCTGGGGAACTCAAGGTAGAACAAATGTAGTCCTTTGTCCAAGTCGGAGGGCAAACATGCTGTTGAGAACGTCGAGGTTGCTTAGTTATTGTTTGTTCAGGAACTGGTGAAGAATGCGCTTGAGTAAATTGTGGTGAAGATTCTACTAATGAATCAGGCAAATGAATATCCTCAGATGATAACTCTGGTGAATCAACCATTGTATTCAAGGTATCCCTCATAACCGGTACAAAAGGCTTCGGTGCTATGAGAATATGTTGGGAAGTCATAGACAAATCTTCGTCGGATAAGAAACGACGGTTGTTCGAGGAAGAGAGAGATGATGAAGACGTCATCTCTTGAAAAGGGATTACATCCTCGTGGAATATAACATCTTTGCTGATAAAGAAATTCCCTGTAGAAATCTCCATAACTCGGTACCCTGTTTGAAGAGAGGGATATCCCATGAAAATACATTGTGTGGCGGGGGGATCCATTTTATCCCGAGGGCCCACAGTTGTTGCATAACATAAATAGCCAAATAATCTAAGATGATCAATTCCGAGCTGTTTTCCATAAAGCATTTCAAAAGGAGTCCGTTCATCAAGTATTCGAGTTGACATGCGGTTAATCAAATAGGTTGCAGTGACCACACAATCTCCCCAATAATTTTCGGGAATCGAAGGTTGATATTTGAGTGCTCGAGCTACCTCCAAAAGATGTCTATGTTTGCGCTCAACAACCCCATTTTGTTAGGGAGTGTAAGTGCAAGAACTTTCATGCAGTATCCCATGAGAGGATAGAAAAGATATGCAATCAGTAGTAAAGAATTCCCGCCCATTATCTGTATGAATTCGCTGTGTAGATTTGTCAAATTAATTTTTAACTAGAGAAATGAATTTCGACAAATTGGAAAAGGTTTGATTCTTGGATTGCGTAAGGAAAACCCAAGTGGCTCGAGTACAATCATCAATGATTGTGAGGAAAAAACGAGATCCATCACGATGTGGAATATGATAGGGACCTTAGATATCCATATGAAGTAAAGAAAAAGCACTGTTAGCTCGAGACATACTGATTGGGAAAGATGCTCGAGATTGTTTAGCCAATGCACATATTGGACACTTTGGATGGGGAAAACGCGCACTATGACCCAAACGTTTATGAAGAAGGATATTTTTATTGCCAGTGGTTGCATTACAAGAAATGCTTTTATTCAATAAATCTAAATCTCCCGAGTAATCAATCCAGAAATATAATCCTTGTGCAACATTACCCAAGCCCATCAGTTTGCCAGTCGAATGGTCCTGAAAGAAGCAATTTTTGAAATTGAATATGGCACGACAAGAATTATCTTTGCAGGCTTTTGAAATAGATAGGAAGTTGAATTCAAAATTAGGAATATATAGGACGTTTTTAAGGAAAAAATTTGGATTGATAAGAACTGTGCCAATTTTGGTAACGTAGGTGACGTTCCCATTTGGAAGGCGTACAGACATGGAAGATTTTGGTCTTTTATGAACATCGGAAAATAATTGCTCATTGCAAATTATGTGGTTACTAGCACCCGAATCAATTATCCACGCATCAACTGAAATGGAATTTGCCTTGCAAATAAGAGTACCTGAGAAATTCGCATCCTTGTCGTTGGCCTTCAACCGACTAAGAGCTCTCATAATATTTTGGTGCTGGTCCTGATTAATTGTCTGATGTGCCCCATCGATTTTTTGTACTGAAACCTGGTAAGCAGAAAATTCTTTTCCTTTTTGTCTCTATCATTCGATTTTCCATGTAGTTTCCAACATGTATCAATAATATGATGTGGGCGTTTACAATATTCACAATATTTACCTTTGGATTTGGAATTTTGCCCACTAACTTTTGATGATGTGTCACTTCGTGGAGCGCTGGTTGTCTTATAAGCAGGCATCAACGTGGCCTAATGAGAGCCGTTGGATTCGATCGAGCTAAAGGAAAAAGATAGTCGTCTGATCTTGTCTGCGAATCCCAACCGTCAGATTTCATCCATCGATCCCAGCCGTCCATCATAATGTTTTTAGGGTTGCCATCATTTTCCCTAATTGCAGTGGCCATTCGTCGAGGTCCAGAAGACCCAAGACCTCTAGAAGTCAACCCAAGATCTCCATGGCTTTCGTCTGCTCGTCAAGACCCAAAAAAGCCGAGACCTCCGCAGCTTCCATTCATCAGTTCCGACGGAGTAGCGCCAGATGGGAAAGCAGCAAGAGCGACACCTTCACCTACCCGTGCATGTTCTGCCGCGGCCAACTGTTGGCTTTCCTCTTGGACAGCCAATTGATAGATCCGGCCAAGCGAAGGTACGGGGTCCATGGCGAGGATTTGTGAGCGGAAAGGTGAGTAACTTTCGTTGAGTATCAGCAAGAATCGAGTTGTCTTCTCTCTGTCCTTTATGGGCCGGTACTGTCGTAGCGTCTCTTCTGGTCCTTCGAGTTGCTCTTTGGCCACCTCGAGCTCATTCCACAGAGTCGAGAGTCGATTGAAGCAAACGGTAACCAACGAGTTTCCTTGCTTCAATTCCGATAGAGCCTGTGTGAGTGAGAAAATCTTGGCTCGGTCAAGTTTTCCATACATTTCTCGGATATTATCCCAAATCATCTTCGAGTCTTCAGTCGGTGGTAGTCCGGCTGCAACGTCAAGGGTCAAACTATTCCCAATCCATGTGCGGATGAGCTGGCTGCATTTGCGCCAGTGACGTTGCAATCGATCGTTAGACGGGAAGGGTACGGTTTCGTCAAGGAACCCATCTTTATCCTTCGTAACCAAGGCTCGCCGGAAATCTCGAGCCCAGGAGCTATAATTTTCTGGTCCGGCGAGTTGCATGTTGATGAGTCGCAATTCTGGTCCGTCGGCCGGCGATGTGTATATTGGGTCGCCGGGCTCCGGGCGGCTACCGCTAGTCAGAACAACATAGGGCATGAAACCGGGTCCCAATACTAGGTAGGGATTTCCCCTTGGACTCGTCCGAATGGATTCGGATCTATGACCCAGACCCGGCGTCGGCCCACTTTTATTGGGCTGATTTACGGGATTTGAAGCTCCTTCTCCTGGTGACGTGTATTGGGCCCATGACTGATTTGGCCCGATGGCCCATGGGCCTTGCACCGAAAACCATTGGACCGGTGGCCATTGGACCGGGTCGGGAATCTGAGTAGCAGTAATAGTAGGATCCGAGTCAGCAGCAGTAGCAGCAACAGGATCGGCAGAAGATTGTTCCTCTTCAGTTAAATCAATTTGCTCCGAGGCTTGATTTTCAGGTGAGTTAGAACTGTCCTCCATTGAAGGGTTCTTGGGCATGGTATTGTCAATGAATTCCTTTCCGGTTGCTGATCTGTTTTGCAGGACTAAACTTGCAACAGCAAATCAGAAAAAAAAACGGAGGCAATTCGAAGGATTTTTTCTGCAGAAGCTAGCTCAAGAAAGACCGCTTTGATACCATGACAGAAAACAAAGAAAATGGAGGAAATTCTATATTGTATTGATCTGCTATGAATACATGTACATTGGTCTGTATATAATGCTAGAATGAAGAAAAAAAAGGAAATAATATACAAGATTATAATTTCCCATTTTGCTAAGCTAATCAAGGATTGACTGAATCAATTGAGTCTCAATTAGGATCAGTATTTCAATCAGAATCATCCAAATCTTCAATAGTATCAAATCTCATCTCCATCAGACCAGACTTCACCAATCCAAAGTCTGCAAGTTTGGCCGTGTAAGACTGCAGAAGAACCCAACAGTAGATTAGACTAGGTTTCCAGCCTAATTATCAAAGCAAACTTTCAAGAGTCTAGCAAATAGCAATATGGAGAAATCTAAAAGCAGCTGAGGACAGGTTCAAGTTCTCGTCTCGTGTTCTGAACTCAATATCAAATCTAAGAAGAAAAGATTTGCAATCAACTATACCCTTTTCATCAATTAAGCTGAAGCCAATATAGGATCTCCGCTAGCTATTTTGACTCTTTTGTCCCGGTTAGAGGACACAATTCCAAGACGTCAAAGTGAGATACTAGGAATGTCATTGTCATCATTATCCTTCTCCCTAGAATTTGACTAGATATATGTTCTATGATAAACGACTCTAATCATTATAAGGAGGATAGAACATTAACCCCATCTAGCCAAATATTTGAAGTTTTGAAATCCCTGTGTATTAGTTTCCTCTCAGAACTGTGCAAGAAAGCCAGGCCTCTGGCAGCCCCAACCACAATCTTGAGGCGTACTTCCCATGAAAGATGAGCAGTGGAGCCCTCTGTACCAGAGTAATGGACAGCGTAAAATGTAAGTAATGCTTAAATGAAGGACATGTTCAAACTACCTTGAATTAAGCACAGGCTTCAAATATTTTATCAACTGATCAAGAAGATATGCTAAACAATTGGCATTCTTAAGGAGACTTGTGAGAAATTAAAAGAGCAATCAGGCGACTTACTTCTGAATAAGTGGTTGTTCAAGCTGCCCTTTGGCATGAACTCGTACACGAGCTAAATTTTCATCCTCGACAAAATCCCAGGAGCTTGGTAAGGTTAGGGTGAGAGAGCCTTCCAAGAATCTCTATCACCGTCTGCACGACAATTAGAAAATAAGCAAAACATAGTCTCACAGATGGTCAGTATGAAAAGACATGAAAGAAATGGAAGCCCTCACAGTAGACCAGGAAGAAAATGTTTTAATCCTTAGGCTTCAATTGGTCAACAGGAATGAAACAATGACAATAGAATAGCTGATATTGGATCGAGAGGTACAGAATGGGAACTGAGACCTAATTCCCAATGAAATGTTCAGTTTAACTAGTAGTTTGACTGAAGACTCATGGCCTTTGTGTGTCTTGTGTTATAAAATGCATATCAGCATTGGTTATATGCACTTCAGATCATATTAGCTATTTAGAAAATGTCTAGCTCGCATGAAACCAGTAGTAACTTTGCAGAATCATTGAAATTTGAAACTGAAACCAATTATAATTTGCGATCATACTGGTAACTTTATCTTGCGGTGGTGTATCCACCCTACATCGTTTGATTGGCCTTGCAATTTGTTCCGGTTCTTGAACATGGAAGCAGAATTCGCTCGAAGGATGAAGGAAACGAGTACACTATGAATCGGACCACATTTCAATAGTCGAAGAAGGTTGAATGACTCCGTCAGTCAAGGCTGATGAGTGAGACCGAGTCTCCTAGGGGCTATGATCACATCGAAGAGGTGGATCATTACATAGATGGGAGTCTGTGAAATTAAAGTTGCGCAGTTTCTTCATTCCTTGCAATCGAATCCCATTTTGTAGGCTCTTCTAATAGTTAGGGTCATACAAGCCATTGGCCACAGACACTCTCATGGCATGGGTTTTCTTAGTCCATTACAAAAGAAAAAAAATGCAAAAAGAAAGTTCATTCTCTGTCAACTAAATGGAGTCATAATATCTAATTTGCCAAGGACCTTAGTGACTAAATAATCTCAAAATCAAATCTAAAAGCATATTTTCAACTGTAATTAGATCTTCGATTTTTCCTTTTATCTCAATTATTGAAGCAAAATAGCTTCTTAGAAAATTCATGCATGTTCAAAAACTTGATTAGACAAATTAAAAATTCAAGAACTCGGTTAGAGGAATAAAATGCGCTAGTTTAGGGACTAAACTAGCCTTTTGCCTTTCATAAACATATGACATGTTGTAGCCAAAATTTGTCACTTCCAAGTACGAGCTCAAGCTCCGTTAAATTGGCCGGACAGCGCCTCAGTTCACCAGGGTCGACTCCAAGAGAGATCGCACCCTCCAAAAGGCTCGCCCACGTGACCTGATCGTGGGGTCTAGACACACAGACCCCGACCTCGAAGGCCAGCAGAGAGGGTGTAGACCCTTTGCTTAGCGTATGCGGGTTGGCTTAGTCCTCTCGCCAAGAGCACTTTACCCCTCAAAAGAAACCCAACAAGAGTATAAAAGAAAAGTAATGTCCTTTGCCCAAAAGGTAAGTCGGATCTTCCCTTGGTACATTTCTCAAGAAGGATTCTTTCTCCCATCCATTGATTTAAGTATCGGAGGATCTTCATTAGGCCAAATCTACGAGACTGCCTTTACTTTGTGGTAAGTAGTTAGGTTCATTCCTTCGAAGGTTCCAGCAAGCTCGGCAAGGGCCAAAACACTGCGCATCAACAAGACAGATGTTGCTGTGATTCAATTCAGAGTTGTAACAAGGCTAACCCATTAGATAAATATGTTCTTTACTAATACAATGAGAAAAACCTCATTGTAATATATCATAATTTCTAGACCCATAATATGTACATGTCAACTTATTAAGCATCTAACTATTATGAACGAGTACATTAAAAATTTTTGTTATACTTTTACCATTCCATTTGAGGTTTTTCGGATGTGAAATTCTCTTAAAAAGCCCAACCCTTGACTTGCATGTCTACGGTGGCATGATGATGTGATCAGTTTGGGCAAGCTACCTCGACTGATCACTTGGGCCTAAGAACTTTAGGAAGCCCGATCTAAATCCATCGAACTAATCTTATAAAACCAGTCATCAAGGTTGGACTTTATACACGTGCAATTGCAATATAAAAAGTGCAAGAGCCATGCATGACAAGCATTTTTCCATTTCCAAGCGAATTGAAACGGGTTAAAATTAATCTCGCAAAGTGACCTGGAGTCCTCAAGGAATAGAAAATATGGCGCACCGCAGAAATATGAATGAACTAAAATGATATTGATTCAAAAGTGAATTACAACCGAAGAGACTGTAGCTTTTTATTTGATGCCGTTAGCTCTCCTGTTAATGCAGATTAACCTAAAACATTTCTTTCTTGTGCATGGATCTTCTTATGTCCTCTATAACAGGTTCGCAAAGCCATCACACCATTATGGTCTCTAAGAAAGAAACAATTGCAGTTTCACCGCTTTGCACATTCGAAGTACCATTATGGTTGGCAACGACGATGGTGTCATGGCATGACGCTGTAGTTACACGAAAAGTGATGCACTTAGGGGACCGGCGGACCCGTTATGCGATTGGACGAACCGGCGGGCTTGAAGTCAACGATGTCGGATTGAGCTCAAATTTGGTCGGCTGAAGCGAAACGGCGTGCTAATCAATACACATAGCCTTTGGCTATGATTAACGATGGATTTTCGCGATTCGGGGTCGTTTAAATAGTTTTTTTAATTATTTTAGTAATTTTTGAATTAGGGGTATGTTTGTATTTTTTGCGTTTTTTTTTGTCATTAGGGTTAACACCCTTTATAAACTCGTTTTTAGGGTTTTGAGAGGCAGTAGTTTTTTGGATGTTTTGAAAACTTATCGATTGTTAATCGATTGAGAGAACAGTTTGTTCCTCATTATCGTTTCGATTATTCTGTTTGGCCTAATTTCTATCGGGCTTCGGCATCAATTGGTATCAGAGCACAGGTTGCTTGAATCAATGGCTGAACAGAATCGCGGTCATGGACGGCGGGCTTGTGGTGGCCGGGGGGCGTGGCGGCGTTCCTGAAGCAGACGACCAACTGCGTCTAAGAGATCTGCGAGACGTAGAAATTGAAGAACAGAGAAGACGTATCCAGGATTTGGAGCGACAACTTGCGGAGGCGAGATTGGGCGTTCAATCCGAAGAAGAAGCAGAATTTGAGGATCCATCCGATGATGAAGAGGAGGACGTAAATCCTTTTAGGGTTCTGAACCAGGGGCGGAATCGAGGAGTACGACCTGGAAATCAACGCTCTTCTCAAAATTTGAGGATGAAGATCGAGATTCCTGAATTTAATGGTAAAGCTCATCCTGATGAGTTTATTGATTGGTTACATACAGTAGAGAGGATCTTTGATATTAAGGATCTGACTGAAGAGCAGAAAGTTAAATTAGTGGCTATTAGGCTACGAAAACATGCCTCGATATGGTGGGAGCATGTGAAAAGGCAGCGTGCTAGAGAGGGGAAATCAAAAGTAAACCGCTGGGATAAGATGAAAAAGTTATTGCAGAAAAATATTTTGCCTACCCATTATAGGCAAGAGGCGTTTATCGAGTATCATAACGTCAAGCAAGGTGATAAAACAGTTGAGGAATTTACAGAAGAATTTGATCGCTTGCGGATGCGTTGTGATGTGGCGGAGGAAGACGAGCAGACGATTGCACGATATCTAGTAGGGCTACGATATGAGATCTCTGATGTTGTCCAATTACAGCAGTATTGGACATATGAGGATGTGTGCAGACTAGCCCTAAAGGTGGAGGGGCAGTTTAAAAGAAAGAGCAGTAATTCTAAGTGGTCAGGTAGCAGTTCCAAGTGGTCAGATAAAGAATCCCAAGGAAAAGCGGAAACATGTGCAGTAAATTCAACATCGGTCACAGTTCAGGATGTGAGTTTTAAACCTGCATCCAACGAGGGGCAGAGTAGTCCTGGAACTAGCAGGGGAGGAACTGCAGCCAAGCGGTGTTTCAAGTGTCAGGGATTCGGGCATTTTGCTGCTGATTGTCCGAACCAACAGATTGTAATGCTTGTTGATAATCCAGTTTTTTATGAAGGCCCAGTTTATGATGAATCTGAAGGCGAAGAAGAGGATGCGGATGCGGAACAGGAAGAGATTATCTATGCTGATTCTGGTGAGTCCCTAGTCGTTAGAAGAATATTAAATGTTGCTGTAGCGGATGATGAATCATGGCTTAGACATAATATTTTTCATACTAAGTGCACTAGTAGAGGAAAAGTATGCAGCATGATAATAGATGGTGGGAGTTGCGAGAATGTGGTGTCCACGACTATGGTGGAAAAGTTGGGGTTGAAAACAGAAGATCATCCTCAACCATACAAGCTGTCATGGCTTAGAAAAGGGAACGAGGTGAAGGTGAGCAAAATGTGCCTTGTGCAATTTTCAATTGGAAAAAATTACATCGATGAGGTGTGGTGTGATGTAGTCCCAATGGATGCTTGCCATATTTTATTGGGGAGGCCGTGGCAGTTTGACAGAAAGACACAGCATGATGGTTTCAGAAATACTTATACCTTCAAGAAGGATGGCCGAACCATTACCCTAGGTCCTTCAGATTTGAGAAAAGAAGGGAAAAGTAATCTGCTTTCCAAATCAAAATTTCAAGAAGAGGCAATGAACACGCCTGAGCTTTTTGCCATTGTGGTGATGGAGCGGAATTCTGACAGTCCCGAAATTCCTACCCAAGTTCTGCCCTTGCTTGAGGAGTTTGCTGATGTCGTACCGGAAGAGTTGCCACCTGGGTTGCCGGGTGAGCACAATGTTTCTGGAACTTTTAATGTAGCAGATTTGTCACCTTACTACACTGAAGAGGAAGAAGACCCTGAAGAGATTAATGACAATGAAGACGAAGCAGATTCGAGGACGAATCTTTCTCTAGCAGGGGAGGATGATGCACTTAGGGGACCGGCAGACCCGTTATGCGATTAGACGAACCGGCGGGCTTGAAGTCAACGATGTCGGATTGAGCTCAAATTTGGTCTGCTGAAGCGAAACGGCGTGCTGATCAATACTCATAGCCTTTGGCTATGATTAACGATGGATTTTCGCGATTCGGGGTCGTTTAAATAGTTTTTTTTTAATTATTTTAGTAATTTTCGAATTAAGGGTATTTTTGTATTTTTTGCGTTTTTTTTGTCATTAGGGTTAACACCCTTTATAAACTCGTTTTTAAGGTTTTGAGAGGCAGTAGTTTTTTGGATGTTTTGAAAACTTATCGATTGTTAATCGATTGAGAGAACAGTTTGTTCCTCGTTATCGTTTCGATTCTTCTGTTTAGCCTAATTTCTATCGGGCTTCGGCATCAAAAAGGGCCATAAAGAAGAAATAAGAAACAAATTCATTAATTGATATAGTCTAGAGCCATGACGAAGAGATAAGAAAAAATATAGTAATTAATAAAAGTTCAGATAGTTTCGGTGATTCCTAAAAATGATCATATACATTTCAACCACACTTTTGAGTTTAATTTTTGGTTATGGAGCTCGTTGGATGTTACTGGTCAATATTCCTTGTTTACTGCATGTCCTTTGATGCCTTAACTTAATTGGATAAAACATCCCTTTTAGTAGTTGTTACACTCCCACTATTCATAGTGTAATTGCGGTGACGACATACAAAGCTTGTCCTTCAATTTCTCATATATCTACCTGCATATATATCGGTTAGGCCTTAAATCGAATAGAGTAGCAAAAGTAATGGAGAATCGATTGATGCCAAACACTTACGTGGGTAAAATTTTCCACCAAAGATGAAGAGAGTCAAACGAGCATTTGAAGAAAAGGTGTAGCACATCGCACCAATAGAGGCAAGTGATCTGGAAGTGCAACCTTTGCTGCTTTACCATATTGTCTCAGAGACTGCCGGTCGATTCGAAACAGTGTGCGTTTGACCGAGAAATCTATTGACATACATATTGCCCGGTTTCCTGCTTTGTGCCGTGAAGATTGCACTGGGGAGCAAGGTCACTAAAGATTTAGTCAGGAGCAAGGAGGTCCCAAGCTTCTTTAGCAGTTTCAAATTTATCAAACAGCAGATGATAAATGGTATAGAAGTTCTTTGTATCCAGGTGATGATTTGATGATTTTGACTGTTCCAATGTGGGAATTTTCTGCAGTCTCGCCTGTAGTTGTTGCGGATACAGTAATATCACCCGTTACTTATCGCCACAATTTCCTTCTTTTGAAGAAGCTATGCATGCCTTGTACCCATAAATTGCAGTTAGAACCATCTAATGTGGTCTGAACTGGTGGAGAAACATCCACTTTGTCAATTACATCAGAAAAGACAAAGGGAATGCCATAGAAATGTCTTTAGGGACCTTTGAGACTTGATTGGGTCCCCAAAAAGCTTGGCCGACCACTTAGTGATCTAGTGCCTGCATGTCTCCTCTCCCTCCCTTTCCCATTTGAAGAACCCATCACTCAGACTCTCCCCAGTAGATCTTCAGTGACTTTCTTGTCTTTCATTTCCTCTCTTCCGAAGACACCAACATCATCCCTTCTACTCCGTCCTGATCCATCGACCTTTTGGCTGCGCCGCCAGTCCTCCTCCTTCACATAGAAACACAAGCAAACGAATATCTTCCGATATTACAATCTCAGGTAATTATTCATTTCAGCTTCTTCATCTCGAAATTTTCTTGTTCTTCTATTCACTACAGTAATTATTCGAAACCTCAACCTTGATATGGACCAGTAGGGGGTGTTTCCGGTGGGTAAGTGGGATCAGCTCAAGCACTAGCTCAAGAGTGTGAAGTAAG